AAAACTGAAAGAATTTGCCAATAAAACCATTTAGTCCTGGAGTTTGGAGTGGAGAGAAAGGGGAAGATGATCTCGTGATCATATACCTAGCCAAGATATCTACTCTTGAATCAATTTTGAGAATTTGTATTTTGGGGAAAATTATTCATTTCACTAGAATCTTCTAATGCATTTCCTCCACAATGCATTACGGGTCTAGCCAGGAGACTGACTTTGGGCTGTGAGGCTAGCAGTCACCTAGTGTCTCTGAACCCCATTTTCCTTGTGGTAAAATGGAAACAGAATCCCTTCTCTCTCATGGACTGCTTAAGAAAAAGCCTGAATTAAATTTGGCCTCCTGCTCGGAAAGCATCATACGCTAAATGAATGTTGACTACAGTTAGGATTGACGCCCCCATCCCCGAAATCAAGGCAGGTCTGGGGTAGGGATTGGGGTAAGAGGGTCACTATAGCGGTGAATGAGCAAGAGCCTGACCCCAAACCACAAAAGACTAGAGCCCAAGGTCACATCCCGACCTGGAAAGACTCCACACCCAATATGGAGGCACCCTCTCGACAGCGGCCCCCAACTCACCGTACAGGTAGGCTGGGAGGACTGCTCTGAGGCCACTCGCAGCCCGTTGTCCAGCAGGCTGACCTGCGTCTCTGGCACGTTCTGGAGGGCCTGGGCGAAGGTAGCGATGCTCCGCGAGGCAGGCGACTTCAGCAGGGCCGGCTGCTGGAACGAGGCGGCTGGGACTGAGGACTGGGTTTGAGGATCGTTCCTCAGCTCCCAGGCCCGCTGGGGGATCCCCGTCCCCGCCCCCAGGCCAGCCGAGAGACTCTCATCCCTGTCCTGGGCCGTGACCTTCCCATGGCCCTGACCCCGCGACCTCTCCAATCTCGACCTCGCCTCCCCTAACAGCCTACTCCCGGTTCGCGTTCCAAGGCACCACGTCCCATAACCCTGCGCTCTCGCTGCCACCTCACCGAGCGGCGGTTGCACAGGAGCACTCGCGTCCCGGCGCTGGCCGCCCGGCAAACCGCGGAAGCCGCCATCTTCAAGACCAGTCGGCCCTGGGCCGCGCGACGCATGCGTACAGTGGATGTGGCGGCGCCCAAGGCGCAGGCGCAGTTCTGCAGCCTTGGTGCTCGGCTGCCCCCTGGCGGAAGCTGGGCACATTCACTCTGGTCGCTGGTTCTGTCTGCGCATCCCCAGGTATCTACCTGCGCGCGTCAGTCCGCCTGACTGTCTATTGGCCCGTGCGGATCCATCTGAGGTCCAGTCCGTCTTCCCTTTTCACCCGTGGGAAGCAGAGTGCGCGATGTTTCTCACGATCTGCGGTCGCCCGGAACCCACTGCGTGCTCGGAGCGGCCTGGGGGCCCGGGGGCTCAGCCCAGGGCTAAAGCACCAATGTGGAGTCCTGGGGCTATGAGGCAGCTGCTGAAAGTCACGATTTTCTCTTTGAAAGAACGAAGTAAATTCAGACGGTTGACAATATATTGCTAAGAAAAAAGGAGCGGTTGAGGCTAATTTGTGAAAAAGATTCCTTGTTTTGGAAAACAAAACACACACACAAGCAGCAAAACGACGCGCCTTTTCTCATAGTTTCCAATACACGTTCCCCATTTCCTTCTGGGCCCTTACTGACAGCATTCTTAAAGTCCAGATTTCTCT